TGAGTCAGCAGCACCTATCACCACCGCACCCTCCCCTGGCTCGGCCCCTCCCCTCTCTCTCACTGCATTATAATTAACCCCCTCTATTCCACTCCTATGCCTGTCCAGTGTCCACTGTTCCCAAAGCGGTTCCTCTCCTCTTTTCATTAAATCAACTGGCTTTTGGATCACTCCATCTCTTTCCTGCGGGGTTGGTTGGTAGAGGTGTGGTAGCAACCACTGTGCCACCCATGAGATCGCAGCCTATCAAATCATCCAGGCAGTCCAGGGCTTCATACAGTACACCCAAAGCATATTTCCATAATATTCATACATCTAGCGTGACTGACTCAGAAGCCGCTGTGGAATTCGACAGCTCAAAGTTGAAGGTCTAGATTAACAGGATGTGTTGAACGATCAGAGCTCTTTGAAGGACACACACACCCTCAATTAACCACCCGTGCCTAGATCACACTTGAACACAATGGGGCTTTTTTTAATTTGTGTTGTATAACCCTATTTTATCCCTTTTTAATGTCACACACAGAAGCCGTAACACTGCCATACATCACTGTGCACATGCCTCACTCCCCCACACCAAGAATCTTGGCTTGTATCCCTGTTACTCTCCAGGGGGAAGAAAAAAGGGGCTTTTCTTTCAGATTCCCCCCCCCCCCTGTTCTTCTCCCCTCTTCAGCCAGAGGACTTCCCAGAGATGGAGAGCCTGTGGCTGCTGACACGTGCATGGAACACGGGGATCTTGTTGTACAGCCTGGCCCAGTACCCGGAGGCAGAGAAGTGGTGTGGCCTGGGCATCAGCTTCCTCCGCCACCTGGGCTCCCTACAGGAGAGCTACCAGACCCAGGTACACGAGAGGTGGAGAGGTGGTAGCAGTGGAGTGTGACAGTGGCTGAGTCATTCCTCCACATAGGGGGGAGGTGGGCAAGAGGACATGGCTAACACACACACACACACACACACACACACACACACACACACACACACACACACACACACACACACACACACACACACACACACACACACACACACACACACACACACACACACACACCCTCAGAGTTCTATGTGATGAAATGTTTAAGAAAGGCTGCCGGTGTGTTGGTCTACCCTCAGATGTCGGGTCTCTACAGTGAGGTTCTGGACAGGCTGGACCGAGCCAAGAAGATCCACGTCATGGAGGAATGACCTGACTGCGAGGAACTCTTCACCTTGGATGGGTGTGTAATGCATGCCACTTGCTCCCAAGCCATGTTATTGTTGGACGTTCACTTTTAATGTTTCCTGACATGTTCCTGTCAGATACTCCACTTCCACGTATGTGATCTTTCAAATAAACATTAAGTTGCAAGTCAAAAATAAATTTTAAAAAGGCTGTTCACATCTCACCACTCATGAACCCCTGTGGAGTTTGCTTAGGGTTGAATAAGGAGCACATCAAAAACCCAGTAACCGAGTCACATATTTTATTATTTCCAAACAAATAAACTCTGGTCAAGTCCCAAAAATTAAAACCCAAACAAAAGTAGCAGGACTGAGTTCCCTCATGACTAGGACAGGGAAGGCTGCGAGGCCAAGCGTCCTGATTGGCTGTGCCACCCGCACAGACAGGAAGGAAAACTACTGTACAATCAAAGGGTTCATGTTTGCAAGCACTTACTGCACATATGTGCTCTAACATAAACAACTCATTACCCAAAAACGTCAAACGATAACCAACCCCTCCCTCCCTCCCTCCTCCCCAAAAAAGTTAAATAAAAAATAGAAACATGTCATTTCTCTCTCACCAGAACAAGGACCCTCATCAATTATACACACAGAGGCATTCGGGTTCCATTTCGTTATATACCACAACCTCCGTTAAGAGTAAAATTAAATCAAGTTCTTTGGGCTTTGACATGGCTGACTGACATACACACATATTTAACAGTCAGCTGTATTGGAACGGAAACACCAGAGGCGGAGCAAATTTCTAAAGGTCTAAATGAGATACTGGTTGCTGCTCCTGGCATTTGTGATATTTGTTGTGTAGGTTTTCTGCTCGTGTCACCTTTTTCAGTATTCATACAATATATATAATTTTAAAATCTATACACCCAGACACGTTCCACAAGAAATCACATTTAGACAGGCCCTACTTGAGGGAATTAAATTCCCAACTGACTAGCTTAGTGTTCCAATAGGCATCTGAAGAGATTCGTCTATAGATAAATACCAACGATACGGCACATTGTTATGGAAATTATATCTCAGAGTAGCTCAAAGTTTACTTACCTGACATTTGTGGACTATAAAACATGTCCCAGTCTGATTCCCACATGCATGAAGCACAGGTGAGGGGATGTCTGCTGGGGCTTATTTACATTGTACAGCTACCACACCCTTTATGTTGTTGAAACAGTCTGCAAGCAGTTTATAAATGGCTCTGTTCCCTTCGGATATTCCCTGAACTCTGGTTTTGACACAGGTAATGATAGCTGGTTAAGCAGTGGTAGTAGCCTGGCAGGTGGGCACACCTGTTCAGAAAACGCCTGCAGGTATACAGGTGCTCCGCAGGGGGGAGTGAGGGTCACCCAAGTGGGGTTAAGGGTTACTGTTTATTTTCTTCCTTCCAGTGGGTCTGGTGCTCAAGAGACCAAAAAACAAAAGCCTTTTTTTGTTTGCTCAGAGGAAGAGCAATTTTTCAAAATGTTCATTCACGGGGGGGCATAGTATTCCTCCTTCCACGAGCCAGACATGTGGTCTTCACATGAGCATGACACGGGAACACAGCGCCAACGGGCCCACCCGCATGGGAAGATGTCACAAGTCGCTTCAATCACGTTGCTATCAGACTGCCCACACTCATGCATCTTCACACAAAGCTTTCACCACAGCTTTAGAAACCAAACATTAAGACAATAGATTATCTTTTTCCGAATAAAAATGGTTCACTTGAAGACAAATTGAAAACTTTAGCAGAAGACACCTTTTAAGACAGCACACATTTCATAACGAGTATGAAATGTGAATCGAGTTGCAGGAGAAATGGTATCTGTACTTCAGCCCACCCAGCTTCACACACACACACACACACACACACACACACACACACACACACACACACACACACACACACACACACACACACACACACACACACACACACACACACACACACACACACACACACACACACACACACACGAGGGGCTTTACCCCCCCCTCCCAGGTCGAATACAAAGAATTCATACTGGTATGGATACAGAGAATAATGGTTTTAATCCAACCCATCTTTAGTGTTTCAAGTAAGGGTAGAAAGGGGGGAGGGGGACGACGACCCAGAACAGGTTATATATAGCGACTCTTAATTGATAACACATTGTTTATTTTACTACCCGTTTGTTTTGTTTTTTTCTTTTAAGGCCACCGCCGTGGTGGTGTACAGGACAGTACCGCGTGACCACTCAACTCAGAGGAGAATCATCTGGGAAGGCAGAGAGTGTAATGGGGAATCTGCTGCTTAACTGGGGCCGATGAGGATGCTGATCTGGCCATCCAAATTCAAATCTAATTGGGGATCGGTTTAGTTTCAAATGTACCAGAAAAAGGAAAGAACAGGATTAAAAATGATAATATAATGATAATACAGGGTAAAATACAAGTGAGCACAGAGTGGAGACTGCATTTAAATCTATTGCACTCTAGTATGGCCTCCTGGAAGTTTGAAGGACACAGTAACACAAAAAAGGAAAATCTAGAACATTTCCTGTGTTTTGCCAGTTGTGTGTGTAGCCTCCCGTAATAGAGAACAGGTAGTCAGGAAACAGAATTTGTATTTGATGTAAGGCAGTTTGGTGTTTTGCAGAGCCCAGTTACACATCTCTCCCCCCCCCCTCGTCCTTTACACAGCAGCTCAAACCCACAAGCAAAATCCCCCCAAAAAACATCCAAAATAAAAACAAATAAAAAAATGAAATCTAACAGCCCTCCAAGTAGACAATTCTAGTGAAGTGTAAAATGTGTAGTTTTTAATATGTAGTAAAATCTTAGTAGGATTTTATCATTTACCTTGTGATTTTTTTTAATAATATAAATGTAGAGATTCACAACTCATTTCGTTCCTTTTGCGCCGCCTTCCATGGTGTATTTTTATACAGGCAACCGGCAGACGACCCGACTGGTTTGTGATAAATAGATCCCCAGTTTGTAGGCTTCTCCACCAACTTCTTCAGTCATTATAAAGCTGGCTGCGATTTCATCCAGTCCTTTTAGAAAAAAAAAAAATCTGCAATTGGTTTTTTCACTCGCGTGTCTTTTCTTTGTTTTTTTTATTTAGTTTGATTTGATGAACATTTACAAAGTGTTCCAACTTGTTATGGTTAGACTCTGTTCTCTCCCCTCCCTTCCCACCGCATCTCAACTCTTCTCGCGTTCTCCCGAATTCTGTAAAACATTCTGGTCTTCGTAGTCAGTCCCAGTACGCTTTAAAAAAAGAACAAAAATCGAAAAAAAAAAAAAAAGGATTTGTTCCTTTTTTCCCTTTTTGTTGTTTTTAAAATGACAAAATTCATTCGGAATGGCATTTCCAGTCTTGAATGGATTCGTTGAGAAACTCATGCAGGGGTGTGCACAGTCACAGTAATGGTGATAAGACTTCTTTTTTTTCTTCCCATTAGCGAATAACATATGAGGACACTAAAACTTGATATGAAACTTATCTGCAAAAAATGGGGAAGGGGGGGTAGTAATTTAGTTTGGGGTGGACAGGGGTTTTTCTCAGGATAGGAGTTCTGCACAGAAGCAGGGGTGGTGTTGGAGGAGGAGGTGATGGTGGGGTGTAGGTTGGGGGTGGGGAGCTGGCAGCTCAGAGCTTCTCGGAGGAAGGGATCCAGATGTAGGGGCCCGACTGCTCCTCGATGATGAGCTTGATTTTGTTGTAGATCTCCTCTAACGAGTCACCCTGTACAATGGCTGGGGGACACAAAGCAGACATGTTAGATGATGGCCTTCAAGTGGTTGCGTGTAGCTCAACGGGGAGAGCATGGCATTAACACTGCTAAGGTTAGGGGTTCGATTCCCACTATGCACACACACTATTGTAAGATGCTTTGGAGAAAAAAAGTCCACCAAATGGCATTTATGAATTCATTATTTACAATGTACCATTCATTTCTATAATATCATCGAATTATAGATGGGGACTGGGGGGGCACAGTGAAACCTACCTGTGAAATATTCTCCGAACTCCTGCTCCAGTTTAATTGCCTTATCAAAGACTTTATTGGCCTGCTCATACGTCTGCCTCTTATTCATTTCCCTGTAATAGACACAAAGGGGTTGTCGTTGACGCGATTGATCGGGTTATTGAGAACTTAAGACCTTCAAAAGAAAAAAAAAGGTTTTGGGTGAAAATGTTGACTTACATTAGGGCTTCAACAGATTTTGGTTTAATGAAGATGGCGATAGGATATAGTTGTGCTTGTTGCAGTCGTTTTATAGCGTTCCCAGATACATCAAGAATGCAGTGTTTCCCCTAAAAAATAATAGAATAAAAAGATGAATTACATTCTTTGATTTTAACATGTTGCACAAGCCCGTCTTGTTAACCCGATACTCCTGAAGCTTTCAGGTTTAGTTGAGTGGCTGTAAAACATTCTTTTACAGAGGTTTGCTCTTGTTACTTTCCTGGGTTACACTGAAAATACACCGTTCAAGTAACTTTATCTTGGGGAGAAATACGAGAAGGTGGCCTTACCCTTTCTGCCACTGCTCTGACAGACAGGATGCTGGTCCCGTAGAGGTTCTCGTTGAACTGGCCGGCCTCGATGAACTTATTGTCCTGGATGTCTTTCTCCATCTGCTCGCGAGACCCCACAAAGTGGTAGTCCTGGCCGTCCATCTCGTTCTCTCGTCTCGGGCGGGTCGTATCTGTTCAAAACACCACACAAGTGAGAGGTTGTGTCACTTGACTGAGAAGCAGTGCCTTGACATTGGCTGCGTCGTTACTGCTTCAACTTACGGGGAACACAGGAGCCGAACTTGTGGGGGAACTCTGAGATGAGGTCATCGTTTACCCGGTCCTTCATAGGTCCCAGTATGATCACAGGTCTTGTGTAGTGGACTGCAAGGGGAAGTCAGGGGACGGGTCAGAAGAGTTGTGCGGGAAGTATGTTTACAGGATTCTTCGAATACATTTGCCCAAATCATAGTTGTGTTCAATGAAATCATCATTCTTCCCACATTATAATTATTACCATTGTTGCTAATTATTATTAACCTCTGGGTTAACCATTCATTCACTTACTTTCCTGCCGAATGACTGGCTCATATGAAAGTATTGTGTCCTCCTGGCCCTCTGTTAAAAGACAATGAAAACAAAATAAAAATATTATTCGGTTCCTCAACTGTAAAAATAGTGACACGTATCAGACAAAATATGTAAAAGGGATGTTTTCCTCTAGATGATCAAGTGCTCGTCTTTCACAGGTCAATTAAATAAATAAATAAAAACACCCTTGCACAATCATGCACGCACAGGCGCATGTCACATGCTCTTCATTTAGGTGGGCAGAGCAAAAGGACGACCACCACCACCACCACCACTGCACACCACAGTGACTCACTTGAGCTGCTCTCGCTGTCGCTTGTGTTGGACGTCAGGCATTCTGCGGGGGAGAGAGGTGTGCGTCAGATCATTTGTTAAGCTACAGAGCGGCGACACGTCCACATACGTTGTCATGTGTTTGTGTGGTGGGAGGGCAAAACATTATTCTTAGGCATTGTTCAAAGCTGTAAGAAGGTCAGGTGCCCCCCGCCATTCCGACCCCATGTGTCCCTTGGCCCTTATATTACTAGCCCCCCCCCCCCCCCCCCCCCAGATAACAGAGGGATGAGAACGCAGAAGTGAGCTTCAGTGTGGTTGCCTTGGTTCTGGCTCTGGTTAACTCTAATGGGGAATTGGTATGAGGTGCCAGCAATAGGAAACTCCAAGTGTTTCCTGTGCCCGTGTCCCAACCGGCCCACCATTCCCTAAGCCAGTGCTTCTTATGACTGGATGCATTACTGCAATCAGCGGATCGCATATCGGTAAGGAGGATCACGACGAGCCAAAGAAAACACACTGACTGGCGCAGGGCTTCCCGAGGGGGAGGGGGTTCCCGGGAGGAAACAGAAGAAAACTGCCCCGTGCTCTGGGGACGGATCTCGCATATAAACTAAACAATCATTGTAAATAAAGTCAAAAGAGAAACCATACACAAAAATACAATCAGATAAGCTTTAATAAATTGCACTTGCCGTGTTTATTGTTCAGACGCTGGGCGTGAAATTGGCGTGTGGTCTGTGTGTGTATAAGGAGTATGCGTTGGGAAATGTGTGTGTGGTTTTGCCATTCTCTACTGGGTTAGGCAGTGACGAGAAGTTTTGCTCAGAGCTTAGGGGATTGTGTACAACCACACACTTACTCAAACTCTTTGATCCATAAAAGTCATCGCTTAACCCTGGGAAGTCCTAGATGTCCCGATAGGCGAGAGCAGAAACCAAAAGAAGAGAGCAGACAAGAAGAAGAGGAAGAAGAAGAGGTTAGTGTGTGTCAGGGCGAGAAAGAGAGAGACGGAGAGAGGAGTGTTGCGTTTGTGTTTGCTAGGTCCTCCAATACACTAGGTGGGGTACACTTTGTCTCTGTATGCGTTATGCCCAACACTGGCCACAGCAAGCCCAGGCCAGACGCAAGCTCAATCCTATAATAATTAGTAAAAATCTCATTAGCGGGATAGAGGCTTTAGTCGTGGGCCAGTAACTGACTGACGCTGACATTATGAGGAAGCGCTGCGTTTTAAGACTGCGTTCCACCCGTGCACTTTTGGCAGACGCACACACCGGCAACACTCCTCGGGTGCCCAAAGACAGACACACAGACGGACGGACGGACAGACAGACACCAGTGAGTGTGAGACAGAATGCCCCACGTATGGAGCCATGGGCTAGGCTTCCCTCTTAAGGGTAGTGAGAGGCGGAGGGGGGTGGGCGGGGTTGACGGAGGTGTCGTCATGCAACCAACCGACCAACGGACCAAGGAAGTGAACGGAAAGATGGAAGTCGAGACGATACTGAAGCATGATAGGAAAGGGTGTAATTTAAACCAACAAAAAACTAAATCAAAACAAACACAACGTCCTCTACTTACGTTCACTCTCCACCATCTCCTGCACAATATTCTCCTTGCTCTTGTAAAATGGGAACTTGCGTGAGAGGTTGAAGCTTTTTTTGCGCTTTACTTTGACTGGCTGCTGATGAGGTGTGTGGATGAGAGGAGTGGGGGAGGGAGGGAGGGGTAAGAACAAAAACAATGGGTTTCAATGACGCCACTGAACACATGCAGAAAAACAAATGAAATGAGATGCATTCAATTCACACTAAACAATGCCAAAGAAAAATCAAGAGAACTGGGGTGAAAATGAACGGCACGTCAATGAAAGGGGAACATGCTACAGATTGCCTTCATCTTTAAACACAAATGACATAAAAACCTGAAATATCTGACACGTGCATCATTTTCTCGCGAAAGAGATTCAACATTTTTTTTGTCTTTAACTTCAGTACAATTAATTTGCTGTTGGTTTCAGAAGGAGAGCTCCGTCCATTAAATCCAGATCAGTCAGTAATGAGATCCATCTCCATTAGCAAGGGTGTGTCTCTTTCGGCACAGGACAATAGGCTACCATTCGAGCCTAAATCTAGTATTGTGTAAAGTATCCCTGAAACTAATCCCAGGAGCCCATATCTAGCCTATAAAGATACTGTGAGCCTGATTTAGCTTGACACATAAGAGGCGTGTGAGATGCGTTGTAACAAGCCAACACTTAAAATCAGAAGTGTAAACCTGGTATTATAAAATACTTAAAAAGGTGCAGTATGTAATGTTCTCGTGTTGTGCCGCTAGCTGTTTACATTATAAACAGTGGATGCATTTAAATTTGTTTCATAATTTATTTATCTTAAGAAAGCAGAGTTTAAGATAGATTGGCCTTTTCTTAGAATCAGAATGATGAGTAGCATTGGTACAGTTTACCTATGCAACAAAATAATAGTGCTTATTATTATTATTATTATTATTACTACACACTATTAATCACATCAAATATTCTGTGGATCTGAGCCATCGACCTCTCAATGGAAGTCAAATTAATTGAATTAACCTAATTTTGTATTGTATTGAGTATTCAGATTGTATGCATTTTTCCCCCAGAGATAAGACATGTCTTCTCCTCTCAGATCTTTCATATCTACAGCTGATGCAATAACCCCATTGTTTCCCCCTGATTGATAACCTTGTTATCACCATGTCACCAAACTTACCCTGTTGGACTCAATCATCCCTGTCCTGGCGTGAAACTTGACCGTTTTTAACCTGGCCCGCTCCTTCTTCTCCACTCTGCAGGCAGATGAATCCAGCCAGACAGAGGAACATGGAATAGAATCCATTAAAGTTTGGAATTTGTGTGAACACATAAAATGGTTCAGAATACAGGTCCAACTACCATTGACCTAGGCTGAGAGAGTGTCACAAATGTTCACAATTTCAGTTCCATTACATCCTATGAGCGGTCCATTAATCGCGGCGTGAGGAGAATAAGAACATGACAACAACAACAAGAACAAAGCAAAATAAATATGGTGTTTTTTGACAAATAACTTTATCGGAAGGCCCTCCGTCTCTCTATTGCTGCTGCGGTAACTGAAACGGATATCGCTCCCTCTGAAGTAAGCTCGGATGTCCCACCCCCACTCTCTTTCTCTCGCCAAGAACGCACATTTGAAGCACCCCAGTCCAGGCGTTCTGTCGTGGGATGAGAGCGCCTGGGCCCGAGGTCACCACTGACCAAAACAGTGGCAGCGGTTTCGTTTATTGCCCCGGAAAGCGATTGTACCTTTTCTTGCTGGGAATGACCCCGATCTGGTCGCTCTCGCCATGTGGCGTGACGAGCCTCGCCTGCCACCACTCATCATCGGAGGCGTTGATGACGTGGAGGATGTCCCCGTACGAGAAGCTCAGACCCTGGCTGGGCAGGCAGCTGTCCCTGGTCCGGTCG